AGCAAAATGTGGTGAACCATTTAGAATTTCTTAAGGAATAGTTTTGAAATAATTATTGAAATTATCAGCAATCACGTATGGAACCGTTACGCAATCGTTTTCAACTTTGATTTCTAAATTTTGTCTAACTTTATTTTTATTTGTGAGTTCAGAGACCACGTTCCAAGTAGTTTTACATACATTTTTACTATTTATTCTATTTTGATAATAGTTCTTCTTTGTTTGTTCAATCAATTCTAGTGTCTTTTTTTATCTTCAAGATATATCAATTTCAGTTCAGGATCAATAGAACTCAGATGTTTTTGAGCCGTGAGCTAGAGTTTTTCACTTCTTGATTAACCCATTTTTTTGTACTTTTACTAAGTCAAAAGTTATATTCAGATCACTTTTGTGAGCGGCCTTTCCTATGGCTTGGTGTTTTGGATACCTACCATAGGTAGGGAATGAGCCACCTAGTCTACCTGATTTTATGCAATGGCCCAAACCAGCCGTACTTCATACTCTTGGAACGCTCGAATTCACCCTCTCTACGGCATAGCTAAATTTACATGTCATTCTATTTTTTTTTATCAATTCACTTTTTTTATTATCAATTTACTAATTGAATCTTAACTGAGATGTCATTCTCTATCTGCCACATTAACACTCGATCCATCATGAATGGGTTCGTTGAATTCAAACAAAAGGTATTTAACATTTATGATATCATCACTATATCAGAAACATGGTTAAGTAACAGGATACCTGACGAGTCGATTTTACTGCCCGGATATGTTCTCTTTCGAAAAGACCGCATAGGCCGTGGTGGAGGGGTTGCCATCTTTGTTAAAAATTATCTTTGTGCTAGCCAAATTACCAATTTACCTATAATAGAAACCGAACAGATATGGATATCCTTCCGCTTGAATAAACATAAATATGCTGTCGGAGCCATATACCGACCACCCAATGAACATTCTCAGGCATTTTCATCAGAATTTGAAGATGTTATGTCATACATCTACCCTTGTTTCAATTACACTGTCTGTGCTGGGGATATTAATATAGATTTTTTGGATGCAACGAATAATCAACTCATAGAATTTGAAAATATCATTAAATCATATGATTTACACCAGATCATTAACCAACCCACTCGTTACTCTTCTAACTCGGGTGAGCTACTGGATGTCATTTTATGTTCTACCATTGGAAGTTCTGTCGATAAACAACATTGTTTTCAGTACACTTATAGGGATTTCAAACGCTTTAATATCGAATCATTAGTAATTGAAGATATTGACATTATATTCTAGGGTTGTGAAGAATTTGTCAGGAGCTTTAAAAAGATGTGTCACAAGACCTTCCCTTCCCAGTTTTTATTCCTCAGATGGCGCCCAGTCGCCATCTATTCATTATCCATGCATTAATTTCATTATCCCAAATTTCAATTTTTTGAGTTGACCCGTTCAAAAAATAAAAGGGCGGAAGACATTAAAGAAAAGCACTGTATAGGTGATGTAATTTCTTCGGTGTTAGTGACCTGGTGGATCTTCGAACTTCTTCTAAAGTTGCCAGAAGTGGTTCGACATTTACTTTTGGAATATAGTCATTGTCATCAGCATTTTTCATCTCATAATAATAATAATAGGTCTTTATTCCCATAATGATACAATAAATAAACGGGAAAGGCTGAAGATCAGTTGGTTGCACCAAAAGATGCAACCTCTGTTTTTCATCTTGGGCCAAGATCATCTTGGTTGATAGAAAACCCCCCCACTGAATCCATTGATACTTCGTTCTGTTCAGATTCCTCCCTCATTTCAGGACTACCTGTTATAGGAACTTTATTATTTTTTTCAGAATGTTCCATCATCACCACATTTCTAATCATGATAACTGAACTACTTTTGTGGTTGAAAATTCTACAACATTTTACTGACTCACCATGACCCATCAAAATGCATTTTTCAGTCTGTCAAAATTCCTTCTTTTTTTTTGGCACGTAAATCATAACAGTTGGATCAAATAATTTCAAATTGCTCGAATTTGGATTGACACCTGTTTGAACTTCAAAAGGGGTTTTCTTGTCAGAAGATCCAGATACAATAGATCGATTTCTGAGATATGTGATCGTATTAACAGCTTCAGCCCAAAATTTATTTTGTAGCTTTGCATCATATAGTATACATCTTGCCTTTTCCACTATGGTTCTATTCATTATCTCACTCATACCATTTTGTTCAGGAATGTACGGGTTCGTATATTGGTGAACAATGCCACTCTTTTTCAAAAATTAATCAAAGTATAGGCTACAGAATTCTAATTTTAATTCTCACATTTTGCTGTGTTCCTACCATACTTTGAATTCCTTGAAGTAACAACCAAATACTTCGTCCTTAGATTTCATAAAATATACGAAACACATTTTACTAAAATCTTCTTCATTGAGTAGAAAACATTTCGAGCCTCCAATGAAAGTTACTTCCATGGGTCCACAAACTTCTGCATGTTCTACTACAAGCAATTCTTTTGCCCCAGTACCAACATGTTTGAAAGTTAATCTTGACTGTTTCCCTTCGCAGCAAACTATACAATATTTTCGCTCAATTTTTCCTTTGCAGACTAATCCATCAACTGCACCATTAGTCATTTTTTTGGATCACCAAAATTAATATGCCCCAGCTTTCTGTGCCATAAATTTTTAGTTGCCAAATAACATTTTCTTATTTTATCAGACTAATCAATGTTTAATCAATAAACATTATCAATTAATTTAGCTGAGTCGACTAACTGACGAAAGGTTGGAGGTGAGCTGAGCAAAACAAGACATTTTTTACTATAATGTCGTGACTCCGTTTTCCAACTTTCGTCTTTCAAACTTTCACTTGAAAATGCAACTTGGTAAACATTTGTTTGGAGGTGGTTGACAAAGTTTCGTGGTGTATTTCATCAGTTCGGACTTCCATTGTAAACTAAACTCTCTCAGAAATACACCCCTTTCAATTAAAAAAAAAGAGTTTTGTATACCTATATAAGGAGGTCAAAAATTATCGAGGCCAAAAAAGCACTTTGAAAGAATCTACATCAAAAAAAAATGTTGATACTTTTGTAGATCTTTGCAATGATGCAAAGTGGAATGATTTACATCATCCCAACCCATTGAGTAGGTTTCATGAAACTCTCTCGAATAATTTTAATACTGCGTTCCCTATTAGCAAAATTAAAAAGCCATGGATCACAAAGGGCATTAAGGTCTCAGCAGAAAATTTACGATCCCTATATTTAATTCGAAAATATTTAGACAACAATGAAGGCTTCAACTCCCTATATAATAGGTACAAAAACTTTTATAGAATAACTATAAGGACTGCAAAACAACTTCATTATATGAAAAAATTGGAAAGGTCTGCAACAAACAAAAAAAAAGCTGGGCAATCATCAATGACCTCAGGGGAAAAAGAATATCGCTCCTACGAAAACTGACCTAAAATCTGATTGTATTAACAAATATTACTGCACTGTGGCACATAATTTATCCAAAGATATAAAATCCAATATTAATCCCTTGACTATTCTTAAAGACAAATCAGTTTCAGAGACATTTTTTTTTCATGCCTACAAATGTTATGGAAATTAGAAAAATTCTTAAAGAAATTAAAAATTCAAACTCAGCTGGTTGGGATGACATAAGCATAAAAGTATTTACCAAGTTGCCCAACTCCGCTATCACAGCCTTGGTGGAAGCTATAAACACAAGCTTCATAACGGGTGTATTTCCGGCATGCATAAAAACAGCCATTGTTATTCCTTTGCACAAAGGAGGCGACACTAACAATCCTGTCAACTTTAGGTCTATTTCTATGCCACCTACCCTTGCAATCTAGGAAAAATCGTTAAACTAAGAATTATGATGTTTGTAAATAAGCATAATATTATTGTTAGCAGTCAGTTTGGGTTTCAGAGTTTGAAAAATACGGAAGATGCTATGTTTCATCTACTGAGAAACGTTTATCTCAATTGAAATAATCGTGAAATAGCAGCGGCAGTTTTTTGCAATCTTTCAAAAGCTTTCGATTGCTTGGATCATGAAATTTCTGTTGCAAAAACTAGAAGTGTATGGCTTTAGAGATATATCTTTGAAATGGTTCCACAAGGATCGGTTCTAGGCCCAATTATCTTCTTGTTATATATTAACGACCTAGCCCGAATTAATATAACCGCAGTAATAACCCAATTCGTTGATGACACTACATTATTTTGGCATTGCAAGAATGAAAGGGAACTGCATGATTTGATCAGCATGGATATTATAAAAATAAAAGTCTGGTGTGATGCTAATCTCTTGTCATTTAATATCTCAATAACTAGCATCATCACCCTCAAGTGCTCCACACTAGATATATACCTGGGTACTTAATTAATAAAAAACAAAATGTCAGCAAAATTTATGAGATTACAAATTGATAAAAATTTGGATTTTGAAGGTCACATAAATAACCTATGTAAAAAAATTTCATCAGGATGCTTTGCAGTCAGAGTATCAGCAAATGAATTGTGCACTAATATGGCAAAAAATGTGTACTTTGCTCTCATCGATTTCCATCTGAGATACGGTACGGTATATATATGTTTGTACTACAAAAAAGATGAGTTAGAAATATGTGTAGAGTTAGATTCAGGGATTCCTGTCGACCTTTATTCAGAAAGCATAAAATTTTGACCTTGCCTTCCATACTTCTATTGGAACTGTTATGTCTGATGCAAAAAAAATTCAGGACGAAATTTTCATTTCACCACGACGAAATACCAGAAATAAGCTCAATATAGGTTTACCGATTCCATTATCATAAAAAATTGAGAGGTCTTTCATATATAATTGTGTATCTTATATTTCTTAGAATATTAACACTTTGTCAATGAGATTTCATCTTCGACAATAAAGTACATTTTGATTTGAATCGATGATTTGATATACCATTCATTGAGAATAACAAGTTAATTGCAATTATTCATTATAGATGATGAAAGGAGACTTTTACGTATTAGAATATGTAGGATGGGACACAACATATACAGAGATAGTTAGCAATGATCGACTTCGAATCAAAAACAGTAATCCACCAATAGAAAGAAATATGTTTCACAAATTCGAAATAGAAGTTCCCGAAGAGGTCCGTGAATAGTAAGTAATTAAAAAAAAAATTATAAGTTATTTCATTCTGTTTTCTGTATTCAGTGCGAAGATAGAGAACGCACATAAGGAATTTCAAAAAGCTATAGGGGCTGGATATATTACCTACAATGCAGAAAAATGTGTTCTTGTAGTAATATCCAGGTGTGAATCAAGTCGTAGACGTGCCTCCTTACTACAGGATATGCATTTCAGAAATCTTTCACAAAAAGTGCTCTTATTAAAACGAACAGAAGAGGCAGCCCGTCAACTAGAAAGTACCAAACTGGCTACTATAGGAGGGTAAGTACTTTAATTGTGGATAGATTTCTTTTGCCAATATTTCCTTTAGGTACTCGTTATCCCGTTTATTTTTAATTACAGTTATTACATAATTAAGTTGTGATCAAATGCACCTCAGAGAGTTAAGGTCAAGAAAACGGAGAACGCACTTGTATACGTTATGATACATTAATGGAACAAATTCATTTTTTAATTGATTGCACAATCGAAATATGAATACTGCCAAAAATTAATGCATTTTCTTTAACATTAGATAGACTCAGGTGGCTTCATGTCAAATAGCATAGAGGGTAGGTCAAAAAATATTAAATTCGTTCATTTCGAAAAAATTAACAAAATGTTGCGTTCTACTCAAGATGAATTTTATAAGCATAGAACAAGAATGTAGAAATATTGAAACACTTCAATGATATCTTTATATTTGTTCGGTTGTCTAGGTTGTGCGACAGTTTTGGCTTAAGCACATTTATTTCCCTAAGATGTCTTTGAAGTATTCTCTTAGGAATTTGAAATGAAAATTTTGTACTTTAATCGTTTTTTTATATGCACGTCATAAGTAATGTATCTGCTTTTGTTTAAACAAATTACAACTTCAAAAGTCACTGTCATCTTGTAGTATAAAATAATTATATTTCTTCAGTTTGAGCTAATGAAGACAAAATTTGAAGTAAAAAACTAATTAATAACAGTTCAACTTTGTGAACCTCAATATATTATGCTGAAGATTTCTATTCTGGCCTTTTTTTGAATAAACTTATACCAATGTCATCTTAGAGATGCCAAAGAAAAACGTCAAAACAAAAGAAGATTTTAAAAAAATTGAAATTTCCAGTCAAGATCTGAGACGTGCCTATGTATCAAATAGTGACTATAACTCAAGCAATTATGAATGTTCTCAAATAAATTATGTTTCCATCAATACTACTACTAATAATCCAGTCAGTTATATAGATGACATTAAACCCGTGTTTGATTTTTTTTAAAGCAAATAATATTTCGAAAAAACAGTTCATTGAATCTTTTCAAACAGAAATTTCACCAAGAAAAATAATTGAAGATAAAGAAGGGATCATTCAGGAAAACGAAAAATTTATATGGAGATTTTGAAAGCAGATTTCACTTCACTGAAAAAATCAGATTGTAGTTTATATTCGGAAATAATCGAAAGTAAGTCAAAACCAAATAAGAAAAATAGTTCGGGTATAATCGTTCATCAAAAAAAATTCCAACTTCAAAAACTATAGAAAAAGATCTTACTATAGAAAAAGATGTAGAAGTGAGAGGAAAACCAAAACTCTGAAAATGGAAATCGACAATCGATAATAAATTGAAACCGATTCACCAGTCATCATCATCATCAAAATGAATAAATCTCTGAAGAGGCCAGTTCCAAACTACGACGGCCGTCAGACCCGAATGAAGATAGTAACATTTTGAATATTACCATTTCTGTACAGAGGAAAATATACAAAATCCTCAATAACATTGACTGCTTCTGAAATCAGGAAACTAGACTCAATATTAAGTTGCCAACAATTAAATCATTCTTTGGCTCACACGAAGATCGGTCAGGGTTTTTGATAGTTTCAGTTCTCTAAATCATTCAAGTAAGAAATTCAGTTTCATGGTGCATTTCATCAGTTCAGACTTCCATTGTCTAGTATAATATAAATAGATGTGAAATCCCTGAAAGAATCTGTAAAAAGTTGAAAAGATTAGCTGAAAAACAATTTCATTAAGCAAAAACTAAAATTACAATGAAATAACATACAAGCAACAACCAAAAAAAAACAAAAAGTGAACTATCAACACGAGGTAGTTGGTCGTGTTCCGCTTGATTAGATGTTTCCATATGTTACGTATATCTATGCTAGCTTGGCTAAATTCGTTGTTGGACAACATATATACGGCTTTTCTCCTAAACCAGTGTTCCTCTTTGTGGATGATTTCAGCTTGAGCCCACTTGATGTTATGTTGATGAGTCCAAACATGCTCTGCTATTCCGGATATGCTGGTTTCTCCTAGCTGTGCTCGGCAATGCGAACTTTTATATGGCCTCTTAGTTTCACCGATGTATGATTCTCCGCACTCGCAGGGTATCTGGAAATCGTAGTCCGCGTTTGGTGGCCTGGTTTTCGTGAGACTGCTACGGATAGTGTTCCCAGATTTGAAGCAGGTTCTGATGTTATACTTAGACCCAATTCTTCTTATCCTTTCCGACAATTCTCTGATGTGGGGAAGTACAAGTACAGGTTGTGGCGTCTTCTCTTCCTTGTGGAGCTCTTGCTGTCTTCTAGCTAAAGCCTGTTCCACCATCACTTCGGAGAATAACCATTCTGTTGAAGGTCATTTTTGATAATGCCTAGTTCGTTTTCGAGACCGTCCTTTGTATTTCAGAGCCCGAAAGCACGGCTTAATCTAGTAGTCTAGTATAAAACTGATGTCAACTGGAAACCAAATCAAACCGAAGGTCAAAATTTACACAATGGTTGAAAAAATAAAAAAAATAGAGTGTCATATTCAGATAATCATCCACTGTTTCTTTGTAAAAAATGCTTGGATTTGCCAGTGAACGATCGGGAGTAGTGGTTAAACGGTCAAATTCACAATTCATAGCTTAAGGCTGCTGCACAGCAAAATTCAGTGGCAAACCAGACTTTTTCTTTTCTTCGTTTTGTCTTTTGGGTTGCCCGGCACTTGTTGAAGAGTATGAGTAGTTTTTAAAGCCACTTTCATATACATTTTTTCTAATTATGAATATGGCTCGTTCACTTCAGAACATGTTGGGCAACACGAAAGACAAGTCGGAGAAAAAAGAAAAGTAAGACCAGAGAAGTCCAGTGTTGCTCAACATATCATAGAGAATGGCTACAGAATAAGCGAGGAATGCTTGAAACTGTTGAGACCGGTACACGACAAGTTTTAGATACCTTCAAAAGTTTAGAAATCGAAAAATATAGAATGATATCTATGAACGATAAGGTCCATTCCTTATTGATAGGGGAACTGGCGCCTGTTTCACTGTGACCTTTGCAGATCTATTGTGATGCTCCCATTCCTATTAGCTTATTGTTTGCACTAGTACATAGTTAGGAGTAGAAAAAAAGTAAAGATTAGATATCAGTCAGGTAGTAAATAACAATAGGACAATAACAAAATACTAGGAATTATTGATTATGCAAGGTAATAATTCATGTAGATGAATATGAAAACACTAACATAGCTTGTAAGGACCAGTTTTAGTCATCTTAGGTAAAGATTGGGTATTAGTCAGGTATTAAGTAATGATAAGACATTAGATTAGATTGATATGGGGCTTCTGTGCTGAACAGCCACTACACTGCGATCTTTGCAGGTCTATTGTGTGTGCCCTCATGTATGCTAGAATTCCTTGTCTAGGCCCGTCCTTGTAACTAGACTCCATAGGTCAGACCTCGAGTTCCCCATATCTGTTTAAATCTGTTTAAAATATATTGAGAGGGTTGTGGTTTTTCCTCCCCTAATGTTGCAAACCTTATCCTTGACAGACCTTCGCAATAGCATAGTATGTGTACGGAGGTTTCCTCATCCTCTTGGCAAAGCCTGCATAGGGCTGTGTCTGCCAGTCTGATATTGTTCATGTGTTTGTTGAGTCTACAGTGTCCCGTCAATAGCCCGACCAGAACACTAGTTGATCGCCTATTCAGACTTAGTAGGTACTCCGTGAATTTTGGCGATGGCTATTTAATGAACTCTTTGGCCTGTCTCATACCTGGCGCCTTATTCCACCATTTTTGAGATTGTTTTTCCTTCCAGTTGTTGTTACAAGTTTTTCGCAAGTTTCGCGCTTTTGCTGTACCATAAAAGGGTTCTGGGCCAATGGGGGAGCATTGTGCTCCTTCTCGTGCTAGTGAATCAGCCTCTTCGTTGCCCTTGTATCCTGTGTGGCCTGGTACCCATACTAATGACAGTCTGTTTTGACTACCTAGTTTTTGTAGCTTTTCTAGGCAGTTCCAGACCAGTTTGGAATTGACCTGCATGGAGCTAATTGCTTTTATAGCTGCTTGGCTATCAGAGTATATTGCAAGAGTATTTTCCTTAAACTCTTGCCTTAGTAACTCTTCTGCGCAGTGACGCATTGGTGCCGTTTCTGCCTGGAATATCGTCACTTTTTTACCTAAGCTTAGTGAGACCTTTGTCTTTGGTTAAGTTATATAGATTCCTGCTCCTACACCTTCTTCAGTTTTTGAGCCGTCTGTGTAACAGGCAATCTCTGCATTTATTGGAGGTCTTCCCATCCATGCCTTTCTGCCTGTTATAATTGTTTTGAAGTTTTTTCCGAAGCTATCTGGGGAAGCATCTCATCCGATGGCATTCCCATTATGAGGTCGTAACTCTTTGATTAGCTCGTTGTACCTCTTATCGTGCAGCATGCTTATAGGCACTTATGCTTATAGGCATTTGCCCTCTGGTCAGTCTACTGATGACTGACCTGGCTTCCCCTTGAATATATAGATGTAGTGGCGTTAGGTTCAGCAAGACTTCTAATGCGGCTGTTGGGGTGGTTCTCATAGCTCCCTTGGCAGCCAGGCAAGCTTGCCTTTGAATGCCACTTAGCCTTCGAATCGCCCCAGCCTGCTGAGTCTTTGGCCACCATACCACGAAGCCATATGATATCATGGGTAAGATAACCCTGGTATATAGCCATATGGTAATTTTTGGTTGTAAACCCCAATTTTTTCCGCACATCCTACACAAGTTGAAGGCTATCATGCTTTTTTGGATTATTTTTTGTAGGTGTTGATTCCATGTCAACTTGTGGTCAAAAATGACTCTTGTGCAATTGGAATTTCTACCTGTGCAGTACTGGTGGCTTCAGCCCTCTAAGTACTTTCTTTTTTGTAAAGACTACTAGTGTAGTTTTGAGAGGGTTTACTGTTATTTCCTCCTCCTGGCACCGTTTATTTATTATGTTTAGAGCCGTTTGTGTGTGCTCCGAGACAGTTCTTGCGAATTTGCCT